ATTCATTTTCCTGGTTACACGGCGACAAAGCTGCCCGATGTCAATTAAAGCCTTAACGAATTCGTTGTTGTCGACCCCTGGTTCCATTTTCTTTCCACCCCTTCCGCTGTCCACCGGCCCCTCTATTTTACGGATTGTACCAACACTGAAACGCGGTCGGCCTGGTTTTCCGGTAGCCGACGTTACCCTATTACCGCTCGTTAATTGGAGGAAATTGCTCGGTCGAGAACCACCGAATTACCAGCTCGTCCTCTGTTTCGTCTTGAGAATCTGTATCCGTGAAGCCTACACGACTTCATTGAACGCTGGGTTGTTTAAACAACTGGAAGCTGTGGCAGGGAAACATTGAGAAATGTTTTTGTGATTCGCTAATGTTAGGTTTAATGTTCTTTCTGAGGATGTAATCGAATTATATACGTTAAGATTGAATATTAATGAACTACGGCTTGTTTCTGAGCTGCAATTCGATAGAAGTATTTTATCGTTGATTATATATTAATTAATTAATACTAGAGAAGAATTCTATGGTTGTCCTTTATCTACAACGGTAGGAAAATAATTGCAGTTTAATTGAATATAGTGATATTTGATAAACTCTCTACGTTTCGTCACAAGTCTGAGATGAGATTAGAGAACAAAGGGTTAAACGTTGTTCTAAGTATATCTATTATTTTATATTTTACTTTGTAAGCTCATTGTATCTATTCCACGAAGATTAATAATAATAAAATATAGCATTTTCTTTTCAATCAAGCTTCTATAACTTTCTCTATAAACTGTTTATTGGTAGATTAACATTGAAGCGTTACCAGGTCCATAAAACAATTTCAATTTGCAGCTAAGTTAAACTACGAACAAGACCCTTTGTTCATCGAGACATTCGAATGCTCTTTAAAGTTGAATTTCGGCAATCCATTAAGGTTCGAGGACTCGAATGTCTCACGTAATTGATTTTCACGGGAGATCGGAATACCGTACGTTTAATCTTCATCGATAATCTAGACGAAGGGTTTATTACTCTTCGACGAGGGCACTCGATAATTGCCAAATTAATATCTTCTCGACGGTGTTAACCGGGAATAGTGAGAGCACCTCGGAAGCAGGACTTACCTCGTCTTAGACACCTTATCCGGAGAAAGTTTATTCCAAACTAGGACTATCAATTATTCTTAAAGTCCCGTGAATCGTATTCCGACAGCGAAACCGCGGAAACTGCGGATTGTTCGGATACTTAATCTATAAATCCAGCCTGTCGCGCGTAGATCGAAAATTTTATATCGTGGAATTAACCGATTCCACTGGTGAACTTTTGTCAGATTCACTGATTATTAAGCGGAAGAATAAAATTCGAATCGGCACGTTAATTCAGTTAGAGTTACTGAAACTGCAACAGTTTAAAACTTGTCACAAAACATTATTCATTATTTCAAACAAAAATGACACACTGCCAACCTAGAATTTTGTCATAGCATTATCAAGATATTCCAAATCTCATGGATCTCCAGCAAACGTTAAACGTCCAAAATTCTAACTAGATTCTACCTAAAATTTAAATTAACCCTTTTCCATTTCTATCATCCGAACTACATTCGTTAATTTCCAGCGGAAGAAAAACTAATTAAATAACCGCTAAAGAAAAGAAGAGTACCAAGAAAAACAAAAAGAAAACAAGGCAAAAACCTGGGTCTCCACTTAGCGTTTAATCCCGAACCGACTTTAGCGCAAGAGCATGCACAAAATTCGTCGACTATAATTTCGCGGTGGCCGGGTAATCAGTAGAAGCTCGGTCCGGAATTTAATGGCGCCGTCTAATACAGTCCCGGGTGGTCGGTAAATATTCGCATTAAAATTCAGTGAGGGTTATCGAGGGTGGCACGAATTAGCATTGTACACGTATAACGGTCTCGAAAGCAACGTGACTCCGGGTTCAGGCCGCGGGTCCGGCTCTAAATCAAGCTTTAGGCGTCCGCGCACGTCACGACGCCTCGAAGTGGCGCGGCCACGTGCTGCTCACGAGAGACACGTGCGAT